GTGATGGTTGCTTTCGTCTGGTTCGAGGGGAGTTCGCCCTTTGTCAGAAAATTGTACACTGGGGTCATCCAGGACGAGGCGTCTCCTATGGCGTGTACCTCGACTGGTGTCGAGGACCTTTCGATGCTCGGGCGTGACAAGGATTCTTGTATGACGGATTTGTTTTCGCCCTTCTTTCTCGTGCTTACGAGTTTGGACAATATGTCTGCCCTTGTGTTTTGCTTGCGCGAGACGTGCGATATTTCTGCTCGGTCAAACTTTGTCATGTGTTTTTTGACTAAGTTTAAGTATTCGACGAGGATGTCGTTTTTGGATTGGTAACTCCCTTGGACTTGGGAAGCAACGAGTTGTGAGTCCGTGAAGATTTGTATCTCGCGGGCTCCCAAGTCCTCGGCTAGCCTTAGTCCTGCGAGCAGGGCCTCGTACTCTGCTTGGTTATTCAACATCGGGAAGGAGAGGGTTAACGAGTGTTCGATCACTACGCCTTCCTCATTTTCCAGGAGGATTCCCGCGCCGCTTCCGAACGAGCTGGAGGCTCCATCGACGAAGATGGTCCATTTGTGTTCTTTCCCTGCGGGCGGGTCGTGAGCGGTTATTTCCGCGACGAAGTCGGACAGGGCTTGTGCTTTCAGAGCTTTCCTGCTCTCGTATTGAATTTCGAATTCGGAGAGCTCTAAGGACCATTTCAACATTCAGCCTGCCATGTCAGGTCGACCTAAGAGTTGTTTCACCGGTTGGTCGGTTCGCACGATGACTGTGTGGGCCAGAAAATAGTGTTTGAGTCTCCTCGCTGCATTGACGAGGGCTAAAGCCACTTTTTCTATCTGTTGGTACCTGCTTTCGGGTCCTTGTAGGGCTTTGATCGTGAAATAAACGGGTTTCTTCCCGTCGGTGGTCTCGCGGATGAGAGTCGCGCTGATGGCTTCATTCGAGATGACCAAGTATAGGAATAATGGCTCCCCGTCGACTGGTCGAGATAGCACGGGTGGTTAGGATAGACTTTATTTTAGGTGGCGCAGTGCCCGTTCGCATTCCTCGGTCCATTCAAAGGCTGCTTCTTTGCGAAGGAGTCTGAAGAAGGGGAGGGCGTGCTGAGCGGATCTTGCGACGAAGCGGGACAATGACGTGAGCATTCCGTTTATGACTTGTATTGATTTCTTCGACGTCGGTGTCGGGAGGTCGAAGAATGCTCGACATTTATCGAGATTGGCTTCGATTCCTCGTTCTGTCAAGTAGAAACTGAGGAATTTCCCCGCCTTGACTCCGAACGTGCACTTTTCGGGGTTGAATCTCATCTTACATTGTCTTGCTTGGGCGAAGACTGCCTTGAGGTGTGCTGCATGATTGGTGTCTGCTCGGGATTTGACGATCATGTCGTCTATGTAGACCTCGAGCATGTCTCCGATCTGCTTGTGGAACACCTTGTTCATCATACGTTGGTAAGTTGCCCCTGCGTTCTTTAGTCCAAAGGGCATTACGTTGTAGTAATAATTGCCCGAGCTGGTCATGAAGGCAGTGCAATGTTTGTCGCCCATGGCCATTGGGATTTGGTTATAGCCTGAATAGGCATCCATGAACGACAATGTTTTGTAGCCAGCCGAGTTGTCGACCATCATATCTATGTTTGGTAAAGGGAAAGCGTCCTTCGGGCATGCCCGATTGAGATCGGTATAGTCAACGCACATCCGCCATTTTCCATTATTCTTTTTAACTAGTACAACGTTTGACATCCAGGTTGAATATCGGGCTTCAGAAATAAAATTCGCCTCCACCATTGATGACCATAGCAGAGGGAAAGTATTCCCACCTGCTGTGCGTCGTGAGCGGCTCCTGCAGGTGTTCGGGGACGTAGAAGTCCTCCGGTCTGGTGACAGAGAAGGCGGTCTGGACGGGGACCGACTCGTCAGATGGTCGGGCGTCTTCCTCCGGTTCTCTTGTCTCCCGGGCGTCACGACGGGGAGCGTCGTTTCGTTGGTATTGGGCGAGCCTCCCTTGATAAGGGTTTCGATGGCGTCCTTGAGGTGGATGCAGTCTTCAGTCAGATGACCATGGATCCTATGGTACTGACAGTACTTGCTCTTGTCTGCTCCGGGCTTGGCGAGGGCAGGTCGGGGGCGTTTGACGCCGCCGTCTTTAAAATCCGTGCTGGCACACTCCACCAAAATGCGCTCGTGGGAAGCTGTGAGTGGAGTGTATTCGGTAAAACGCCCCGAGGGTCCTCTTTTCTCTCGGACTTCTCAGGGTCTGTCCTCTTTTCTTTTCTCCCCGGCTCGTCGAGGAGGAGCGGCTTCCTGGCGTGGGTTGCTGCTGGATCCGCGAGTTCTGGGGTCCCAGGCTCTGTTAGCCGCCTCCCTTTCCTCGTAATCCATATATGCCCGGGCTTTTTCGAGGAGGGCATCAAATGTTTGGGGAGGCTCGATGCCTACTGCCTTTTTGAATTCTGTGTCGGGGAGGAGCCCCCTCTCCAGCAAATACATTTTCATGTGGTCCGCGCAGGGGACCTGTATGGCTTCGCGATTGAAGCGATTAATAAACTCTCTCAAGGTTTCATCATGTCTCTGGATGATGGCCTCGAGAGACGCCTCGGTCTTTGGGTGTCACCAAGACGCAGTGAACGAACTTATGAATTGGTTCTTCAGGTTTCGCCTCGAGGTGATTGATCCCGGAGCGAGGCCTTTATACCAATCCATTGCTGCCTTTCTGAGGGTCATGGAGAACAACCGGCATTTGATGGGTCCCCCGACATTGTGGTAGTGCAGCATAGTCTCGAACCCGTCTATATGGTCGACCGGGTCCGCGACTCTGTCGTATTCCTTCAGATGTGGAGGCTTCTCCATGCCCGGGGGAATGGGCGCCTCCATGATGGCTTGTGACAGGGGACCGCGGGGGTCGTCCTCGTCACTTCGCTCCGGGGACAGGGATGGGGACCTGTAATATTGTCGCGCCCGACGATCCTGGTCGTGCTGGGAATCCCTCGAGCGTGGTGCTCGTTGGTTGATTCTTCCATGCCCGTCTCCAGAGTATCTTCTTTCTTGCCGTATGGGGGCGTGGCCGCGTCCCCCAACTTCAATGACGGGTTGCCTCTCCAAAGGGGGTCGTCTCCCCGAGGGTCGGGGTGACGGGCTTCGGGAGGTGTCTCTGTATTGTCTCCGCGGGGGAGACGGGAGATGTACCTCTGTTACTCGAGGAGGTGGAGTCTGGGGCCTCCTGTGTCTCCTCGCGGGTCTTCGATCATCTTCTAGTGCCCTTAATCTTTCCTCCTGGGCGAAGATGAGGTAATTCGTCTGATTGATCGCCGCGAATAGTGTGCGAGTTGTAGCATCTGCCCCGGCGGGGACAAGGACTTCCTGAAATTGGGCAGCTCGATGGCTTGTGGGAGCTGCGTTGTCTTCTTCGAGCGGCGGAGGAACTGAAGAAGATGAGACAGTAACTCTGTCGCGGTGGACTGAGGGCCCGGGGTTGGTGCCCCCGGGGAGTGTGTTATGACCGGGGTTACCGATGTTGTCGGGGAGTCCATTTTTATCTACTACGGCCGTTGTTGGTGTCGACGACGCGGATGTTTTGGTCATCCCGAACTTAGTCAGCCATGGCGGTAGGAAGTGATATTGAGCTTTGGTCTTCGAGGTTTTGCAAGACGGGGAAGCTAGTTTCCCACAGGCGGCACCACTGATCTTACCTGATCAGACTTGGATCGTCATGAGTGGCTCCGAGCAGAAGTTGAGTGAGATGGGGGGAGGGGGGTACCTGTAAGGCACTCCGATGCTAAAATGAGTGACGGAATGAGCAGGAAAAAAGCGTATGTATGGGTAAAAGATGAATACCTGACCCTCTAGAAACAGAGGGTATTTATAGCCCCCAGCGCGGGGCCAAGGTCCCCTCATTGGGCCGACCAGAACTGGCCCAATAAAAGAACTGCCAGGTTCTACGTGTGTAATGGGGACCCGCACGTGGTCTCCTTCCTGGTGATGCTCTGCGAGAAATGAGGAGGGACGAAGACGCAGTCTTTCCGAAATTCAGGTGATTTGATAACGGTCAGAATCTGCCCTACGAGGAGGGTGCTCGAGCTGGGCTTGAGCTAGAGTTTCCGTGGTCGGGGACACCATGTTCGCGGGCAACGGCGGGCACGACTGCAGTCTGTGATCGGGCGCGCTGGCGGGAATCCTCGGGCGCGCGCTCCTCGAGGAGTTGCTTGGATTGGGCCTTCGTCCTTGCTTTTGGACCAGGGCGGGCCCAATCCAGAACAAGATTATCTTTACTTTAATGATGACAAAAATAAATAATAATAAAATATAAACAATAATTTTATTGGATTCATACTTTTCTAGTTCTATAGAGCATGAATCATTCTCCTAATTTCATTAAAGCTACCACCATTAACTAATTCCAATTTTGATGCAAATCTTCGATTCTTCTTCGTAAACAACCAAAGAAAGTGTAATTTTAACATTCTCCTTAGTCACCTGTAATGAAACTAATCAAGATCCTTAGTCAAGATAATTAAATAATCAAGAAATTAGAAAACATAAAATAAAATAAAAATATAGACATTAAATTGTAATCACCTACCAATCAAACGAGAGCTTGTTGAACTCTTAAGAAACGGTATAGGACGGTATTTTATTCAAAGTTACTCTCTATGTCAACTACAATATTATATAACATTCCACTAGAAAATGGATGAAGAAAGAATATGGCAAAAACGATTATCAGAAGATTTCAAAACACAATAGAATTTAAGTAATAATATTTAAAATTAAATAAAAATAAAAATAATAATAATAAATTTAATAAAAAATTTCAATTATAAATAATTTATAAATATAAGAATGCATGAGAAAGTGACACTTAACAAAATTGTCAAAAAAAACTTATCTTGTTTTATTCTATCGTATGAAGTGCATAATAATAAAACTAGGAATTGAGCATGAAATCTCCCCTTTGCATTGAAGATTTCTCCCTTCAGATTACACTGGGAGCATTTCTCCCTTCTTCCCGATTGAATGATGTATCAAAGAACCAAAGCGATTAACCACAATCAATTACGCCGTTATCTTTACGCTAAAAACAACACACAAACCTTATTCCACACTCAAAACCAAACACCAACCTCAAATCTTCGAAATCGCAAACACATTCCTTTCATAACCGAAATCAAACATGTTCAAACCTCAGAACAAGCTTTGTCTCTCTTTCACCATTACACCCAACTTGGTCACAAACACTATTACCCTTCCTACGCTGCATTGCTCTATAAACTCGCTCGTTCTAGAAACTTCCAAGCCGTTGAAACCATACTCAAACACATGAAAGATGCCGATATTCAATGCAATGAGACCCTTTTCATTGCTCTCTTTCAACACTACGGTCCACTGAAAGCCATTGAACTCTTTCGCTCTATGAACCAGTTCAATTGTGTAAGGACATTACAGTCGTTCAATGCGCTTCTTAATCTTCTCGTTGATGGTTCTATGTTTGATGAGGCTATTCATGCTTTTGATCGATCCTATCAAATGGGTTTTCGTCCCAATACTGTTACGTTTAATATTATGATAAAGGGTTGGTTGGTGAAAGGTGAATGGGAAAAAGCATGTCAGGTGTTTGATGAAATGCTTCACAAGAAAGTGCAACCCAGTGTTGTCACTTATAATAGTCTTATTGGGTTTTTGTCTAGGAAGGGGGATTTGGATAAAGCTATGACCTTGGTTGAGGATATGAGACGTAAAGGTAAACGTGCGAATGGAGTAACGTACGCGCTTTTGATGGAAGGTTTGTGTTCTGTGGGAAAGTATGAGGAAGCTAACAAGTTGATGTTTGATATGGCGTATCGCGGATGTAAGCCTCAGGTTGTGAATTTTTCTGTTTTGATGAATGATCTTGGTAAGAGAGGAAAGATTGATGAGGCGATGGTTTTGCTCCGGGAGATGAGAAAGAGGCGGCTTAAGCCAGATGTTGTGACGTACAACGTGTTTGTAAATTATCTTTGCAAGGAAGGGAAGACAGCGGAAGCTTACAAAGTGTTAATTGAGATGCAAATTGGCGGTTGTCATCCAAATGCAGCTACGTACAGGATGATGCTTGATGGTTTGTGTCGGAATGGGGATTTTGAGGTAGGGCTGAATGTTTTGAATGCAATGTTGGCGAGTGGACATTTCCCACGATCTGATACATTTAACTGTTTGGTTGTTGGGCTTTTGAAGTCTGGGAATGTCGATGGTGGATGCTTTGTTTTGGAAGAAATGGAGAAGAGAAAGGTAGATTTTGATTTGGAGAGCTGGGAAAGTGTGATAAAGTATGCTTGCAGCGAGGATGATAACGGTAGCAGTATGCTTATGAATATACTTTCATCTCTGTCCATCTAATGCAATCAAAATTAGAATTGTAATATACCAAATAAGAAAGGAACATTATTGTTGTAAACTTGCTTTCCCGATTCATAATTATTTTTAAATAATGATTTTTATTAGTATCTCTTTATATAATTTTCAATAAGCTAACTGAGTTAGTTGATTATTTATAATTAATCAGTATTTCAGAAATTATTGGTTTCAGATTATCAGTATTTTATAATAGTTGCTGGTGTTTAGTTATAACTACTACAATGAGATAGATATCAACTCCATACATACAAAACAACTCTCATCAACTCCATAATACATTACTGCTACTGCTGTTTCACGTCTTACTATTTATACATGTCACCATAACTCTCTATCATCTCATCAAAACGCAAGATCAAATTATCAAACACTAACAAACATGCCACGCTTTGAAACTCTTGCTACCACTATGCATCTCAAAGCCATAATGTTAATGCCATTGATATTATTCCTTACATTCACTTCCACAACTTCAAGCCGAATCCTTGGTGAACTAGAAACACCCGAAGAACCGATTATTGATTCTGCAGTGTCTCCTGTTTCTTCCACCATTCTCCCTCCACTTTCGGCACCAGCCGCAACTACTGGTACTACTGATATTCCTGATCAGCACCACACAATATCATTTTTCTTGCACGACATTCTCGGCGGCTCTAATCCAACAGCAAGAGCAGTAACGGGAGTTGTTACAAATCCTGCCCTTAACGCTCAAGTTGCATTCGCAAAGCCAAACGGTGCAAACCTTCCTCTTAACAGCGGAGTTCCACAGAACAATAACAACAATGGAATTCTAAACAACAATAACCTCCCTTTCCTAACAGGACTCAGTGGAAATACCGGAAACGTCTTCAATAACAATAACAACAACAACAACGGGAATAACAATTTTCCGGTGACGAATATGAATCAGATACCACAGGGAATGACAGTGCAGGAGTTGATGTTTGGTACAATGACAGTGTTTGATGATGAATTAACAGAAGGGGAAGAGTTGGGATCAGGATTAGTAGGGAAAGCACAAGGATTCTATATAGCAAGTTCAGTGGAAGGAACAAGTCAAGTAATGGCATTCACTGCTAAGTTTGAAGAGAATGGTTATGAGGATAGTCTGAGCTTCTTTGGTGTACACAGAACAACTCAAGTTTCACAATCACAACTCGCAATTATTGGAGGAACAGGAAAGTATGTGAATGCAAACGGAATTGCTATTATTAAGACATTTCCAGTTACAAACAGTCAACAACACAACGCTGATGGCCTTGAAACTCTCTTGCACCTTACTGCATATCTTTCCTATTAAGATGTCTTTTAAGTTATGTGTCATGAATGAACTTTAATTATGTTTTTAGCTTACAAAGTTATTGCAATATATTTGGGTTTTATGTAATGAATGTCAGTCAGTGATTGTAATGTACTTTTGAAAAGAAAACAATATATATGTTATACATGATTTTGATTTTACTATGAGCCCATGACCCAACTATATTGCTTTGACATTCTATTATCTGTCATATGAATTCCAACACTAGAAGGGCAGGCCTTGAAACACATTCTGAAACAAATTAACTCGCATGTAAACTCTCTTTTTGATAAATTCCTACAACTTCGAGTAACTTTCATAAATTTTGTAAATTCTTGATTTTACGAGTTTACGATTCTACAGTGATTTGACTTTAAAATATAAGTTGTTAGATTAGTTGTTAGAATTTTTTCTGTTTTCTATTTGGTACTTCTAACTCTGCAATCATAGCATAAACCAATGGGCATGTCTTGTGGAAACCTTGGTTGGATCAAGTGCAATGTAGATAGTTCTTTTATAGGAAACTCAGGGTCTCAATATATGGTTGCATATTCATAATTAATTAGACATTTTCCTTATAACTTTTTCGATTAAGGTAGGAATAACCAACTTTTTTTAAGTGGAACTACATGGTGTTATATTAGTCATCCATCATGCAAACACAAGGAGATGAAATCATCTACAGTTAAAGTGTTATTCAAGCTTTCTACAATGAAAAAGTGGTTTGAGAAATAGCATGCACACTGTTCATTCATTCATCCAAATCAGGTATTACATATTTTCCTACAAAGAATAATGAGATCTTCTTTACTACAAAACAACTATCATAAATAGACAGTAATCTGAAAAAGTGTTTCCATCCCATTAGTACTTTTGTGTTGATCATAATGTAAATGTAACGTCTCAATTTTCGCATACCCTCTTGCATTTTCATATTTGCCACTTCCTCCAACAACAGCAATATAGGATTCATGTGTAGCCATTCTATGAACTCCAAAGAAACTAATAGCATCATCATCTTCATGACCTTCATCACCAAACAAAGCTATAAATGCCATGGTTTGACTGCTTCCATCCAAAGAACTAACCAAATGAAAACCTTGCGCTTTACCAATAATCTCCGAATTCAACTCATACCCTTTTGTAATCTCATCATCAATAACAGTTATTCTTCCAAATAAAAGCTTTTCTAGAGTTGCTCCGATCGGGATTCGATTCCTTGTAACGTAAGGAAGTGAGTTAGAGTCAGTACTATCTATAATCACTTTGTTTTTGTCAATGTTTTTTATCATTGGTGTGCTTGAGGGAAAACCATTTGTACTAATGCTAGTGTCGAAAATTGGTATGCTTCCTTTAGTAGGGAATAATCTGTTATTTGGTTTTGAGAAAGGAAGGTTAGTGGTTGGTTGTGTGTTGACAATGATGCCATTCATGATTCTTTCTGAAGGGTTTAATCCACCTAGAATGTCATGCATGAAGAAAGTGAGTGGTGGAGCATGATTCTCTTTTGTTTTTACACACCTTAGGGTGATGCTTAAGAGACAAAAGTGAAGTACTATGATGTTTTTTAAGGAAAAAGAGGTGAGTGTGAACCTTATGGCCATTTTGATATTTTTAATATGAACTAGCACATTGTATATATAGTTAATATATAACATGTTGATTCACTTGAAGAATCCACTCATGAATGGAGTTGGAATGCGGCAAATTAATATCTCTTAGACTATTGTTTATTGGAGTTGTTGCTCAACAAATCAACTCTCACAAATGGAGTTGCTAATGCCACATGATTTTATCTTAAACACAAGTCAAAAATATTTTGACTTGGTTCAAGTTCATTGTCAAGTTTAATATAAAAAAATTGAACATTTTAATACTCTTGAATTTATTTGGGCACTGTTATTCTTAATCAATCAAACACTATAATTCAATTTTATGTGATCTATTTATTTTATTTTAAAATAAATTAAAATTTTATTACAATTTGTACTAAAAGTACTAAGACCCAACTTAGATTCATTGATTCCAAAAAATTTACCTATAAAAAATAGACAAAGTTGTGTTATGAGTCTAATATACAAAATCATTTGTAGAGATATAGATAACAAATAAAAACAAACATATTTATTATTAAAAATAATTATAAACTTATTTATAGTATTTTAATGTATTTCTATGCCTAGAAAAATATATTTAACAATGTAATTATATTTAGCTGAATCATCAAATTAATACAAATATATTTAGCTGAATCATCAAATTTACTTTTGACTATAATTTATTGATGTTATGATAATGATATCCTGTTGATGTAATTTTAAAATAAAGTAAATTTATTGATATTAACATCTATATTATCATTCTTATTTCTATTAATAATTTTATATTATTGGTATATTGTTTGATGTTAGTGTTACTTTATTATGATGATATGATATGCTTATATTTATCATATTTTCTATATCCTATCTGTAATACTTTAATTTAATTCCGCGTAATTATAATAAATTAAAATAATATTTAAATATCAAAACATAATTAGGATATTATATTTTATAAAACATACACAGGTGTCCGGAATATATAAATGATACATAACGCTATTCGTTAAAACACATCACATTCGACATAAATCAATATTTACTCAAAATAAAAGGGAGTTCGTAAGACTCCAATAAATCACCAAAATAACAAAATAAATAAGCGTTCATCTCTCCTCAGTGTTACATATCAGAGCAATGACGCCGGCTCAATTAAACCTGAAGAGCAACCTCTTCTAAAACTCCGTAGCCTCGGGCTACTCTTGACTATCTGTACGATACCGTATAAAGCATCATTCCAACATAAGGGTGAGATGTCATAACAATATAATAGAATGTATAATAATAAATATACGACAAATATAAGTATGCATAGTTACACATTCCATATTTCTACGCCATCAACAACAATTCCATTACGTAATAATTTATACAACCACATGTATTTATCATCACATATCAACAACTATCACCTAATGCATATACCACCCATACAACTCAACATCATGTAATTTAATCAATACTATGCAAAGAGATCGACACTCACTCGATGCATGTGGTACCAACAGGATATAAACCCCCTCTCCATAATGCCAAATAGGGCAACAACATACCATAAGCCCTCACCAAAATGTCAATACAGACCAACAATAGAGCATAAGCCCTCACCAATAAATGCAGGCAACACAGACATGCAACAACATGATTATGCAATTCCAGGGTATAAGCCCTCAACATTACGTCCATACAGGCCAACAACATCACCTTCATCATTATGCGGCATATTATGAAATTCATCCATACATTTCTATACATAATTATTACGTTCAATTCAACTTTATCACTACATATCATACGAAAAATACATTCAACGTATAAGCCTTCACAAAAATAATTAACTCATGTAAACAAAACTATTTTTATAAGATAGAAAATGTTTTTAGCTTTCTGTCTGTTCAAACGGTGTGTCAAACGGACACCCGAGTCAAAAGTTACGAATTTTACAAGTTTTGGAAAATCTGTCACCAAATGGCATTTGCCATTGACCTAATGGCGCTTGCCATTAGCACGCAGTAAGTAAAAACCAGTTTTTTGAACAAATGGTGTTTTCCATTAGCCTAACGGCGGTCGCCATTAGCATATACTAGCAGAAAAAATGCGAAAATCAGTTATTTCTTCACTTCAAACCCCAAAATGCCAATTTTTCTAACCAAACCAGTATTTCATGAATTCACAAAATACACACATACATTACCCACCATTCAAACTCAATATTCATCATCAATTTTGTCAAAATTATCACAATATATCAACAATTCATCAAAATTACACAATCAAACAAAACAACAATATAGAGGAACTCAAGAACACATAACTATGAAACCTAATCTCTACCATTATCCATCATTATACAAACCATTATAGAGTTAGAACCACACCCTTACCTTAGATCGATGATTCTAAGTTTTTACCGCGAATCCCTTGGTTCTTGCTTCGAATACGCTCTTCTCATTTTCTCGTTCTCTGTTTTCTCGTTCTCTTCTCTTTTCACCTTCTAATTCCCTTTCTAAATTCCCACTTTCTTATGTTTGACAACAATGACCCTTGGACCCTTAATTCCTAATCCCAACTTTACCCTCATCTAAATTAAATAATTATTTAATTATAATTATCTAATAACTATATTGTTATTGTGGGATATTGGATCGAACTCTAGTATGATCGAAGTACATGCTGTAGTCGAAGCATGTATTTGTCGAAGAATGCTTGTTAAATTAGGTTTTAGTGTTTAAACCCTAATTTGTTAAGTTAGCTTGATTATTAAGTTAGCTTGTATAATGGGCCTTGTGGAAAAAGCCCATTAGTTAGTATGTTAGGTTTTATTATAAATAGCATACTAGTCTCTCATCATTGCAACACAGCAAATCCTAATTTAGGGTGAGAGGGTTATTTGTTATTCTTGTAAACTTGTAATCTTGTTTTCTAAGAGAAAGTAAAGAAAAGCAGTTATAACCAATTCTTGTGTTCTTCTTCTTCCTTGTTCTTTATTCTTCCCTTATTCTATACTTTGTTATTGGCATTGAATTCACAACAAATTGGTGCGGTGAGCGTGGAGAAGATGCCTTCAACAAAATATGAGATTGAAAAGTTCACCGGAGTGAATGATTTCGGTCTATGGCGCTTGAAGATGAAAGCCCTACTGGTTCAGCAGGGTTGTTTGGAAGCGTTGAAGGGAGCGACGGCGATGGACGCTGCGTTAACAGAAAGAGAGAAGACGGCCATGATCGAGAAAGCACACAGCGCAATTTTGTTGAGCCTTGGTGATAAGGTTCTTCGACAGGTATCAAAGGAGACGACGGCATCAGGGTTATGGGTGAAACTTGAAAGTTTGTATATGACCAAATCTCTGGTAAATCGACTCTACCTGAAGCAAGCTTTGTATTCATTCAAGATGATTGAAGACAAAGTGTTGGCTGAGCAGTTGGATATGTTCAACAAGCTGATTCTTGATCTTGAAAATATTGATGTAAAGATTGATGATGAAGATCAAGCGCTGTTATTATTGTGCGCTTTGCCCAGATCACATGCTCACTTCAAAGAAACCCTCTTGTATGGAAGAGAGTCCCTGACCTTTGAAGAAGTTCAATCAGCTTTGTACTCTAAGGACTTGAACGAACGTAAGGAGCATAAACCTTCGACGGTTGGTGAAGGTTTAGCTGTTAAAGGAAAATTCGACAAGAGGAAAGGTAAAAATCAGTCGAAGTCTTATAGTGGTGATGCATCTGGTATTAGATGCTATCACTGTAAGAAAGTAGGTCACACAAGAAAGGTGTGCCCTGAACGCCTGAAAGATCATGGAGGTAAGGATAATGGCAACGCAGCTATTGTCCAAGATGATTTCGAATCATCTGATGTTCTTGTGGTTTCAAGCAAAAACTCGTCGAAGGAATGGATTATGGATTCTGGATGCACTTGGCACATGACTCCAAACAAAGACTTGTTCGAGGAATTATGTGATCAAGATGGTGGATCTGTATTGCTGGGAAACAACAAAGCTTGCAAGATTGCAGGCGTTGGATCTGTGAGATTCAAGCTCCATGATGAGTCAATAAGATTGTTGACTGAAGTCAGGTATGTACCTGATTTGAAGAGAAATTTGATTTCTCTTGGTGAATTCGACAAGAAAGGATATGTTTTTCAAGGAGAGAAAAGTATCCTAAGAGTCATGAAAGGGTCGAAGGAAGTCTTGAGAGGCGTAAAGAAACAAGGCTTGTATACCCTTGAGGCTGAAGTTGTAAGTGGTTCGACAAATGTTGCATCCACGAAACCTTTGTCGAAGACAGAAATTTGGCACATGAGATTGGGCCATGTCAGTGAAAGGGGTCTGGTCGAATTAGGGAAACAAAATCTGCTTGGTGGAGATAAAGTCGAAAAGCTGAAGTTTTGTGAACCCTGTGTACTTGGAAAGTCCTGTAGAATGAAGTTCAACAAAGGCAAACAAAGAACACATGGATCCCTTGATTACATCCATGCTGATCTTTGGGGGCCTGCAAGGTGTCCATCACATTCAGGAGCAAAGTATTTTCTATCCATAGTAGATGACTATTCCAGAAAGTTATGGGTATTCATCCAGAAGACTAAGGATGAAACTTTTGAGAATTTCAAAAGTTGGAGGACTCTTGTCGAAAATCAAACTGGCAGAAAGGTAAAGAGGTTGAGAACCGACAATGGCCTTGAGTTTTGCAATGAGGCGTTCGACAGTTTTTGTGTTGCCTCTGGTATTGCAAGGCACAGAACTACCGCAGGTACTCCACAACAAAATGGTTTGGCTGAAAGGTTTAATCGAACTATTTTGGAGAGAGTTAGATGCATGTTGACTAGTGCGAGATTAAAGAAGGTGTTTTGGGCTGAGGCTGTTTCGACAGCAGCATATCTGATAAACAGATGTCCTTCGACAGCGTTAGATATGAAGACACCTGAAGAAGTTTGGTCGGGACATCCACCAGATCTCGACAAACTAAGAGTATTTGGCTGTGTAGCCTATGCTCACATTAGGCAAGACA